AAATTTCTGCACCTGCCATATTCTTTTTTTTTGTTTTGCATCTGTAAACAACAGTAAGTATGCATTCAAACTTGCAGAAAGATGGTGTTTTTAACTTTGCACCATTGGCTACGTCAGCTTCTGTTCATGTAGGAATTTACAGAAACATTCAATTTGACCATTTTGCATTCAACTATGTATAAAGCAGGTAAAATTATGAATCTAGTCCTGTCTCTTCCTGCTTTCCATAATGACTCAGTCAGATCTTCAAGAAAGCTACAATTAGAATGGTTGCATTTCAACCAAAATCTAATACTTTCTTTGAATCTGGTAGTTCTGTTACAACCATGACTACTCATTAAAGGTAATTGTTCTTCCATGTGTCCTTTTTAGATAGGCATTTAACTGAACAGTGATCTTTTCCCCTAACCAGGAAGGGCTTAGAAAAAAAACATACAATAGTTACTGATAAAGTATCTCATTTTATTGTTCTGAAATAAAATATGCTTGATAAACAGTTAATACTACATTAACATAGTAAAAAATAAATAATACACATTTCTGCTGTTTACTGGGCTGGTGATTCAGATGTCTCATTTTAATAACTTACACACTTTTTAATCCATTATTTGAATTATACATTTAGGTAAACCTGCTAATTTAAATATTCAAAAAGATATTCACTGTGACTTTAAAGAATAATTTTTAAAAATCCAACCTTTCCAAAACGTTCAGTCAAGGTTCTAACCTGGGGAACTGGCCAGAATTTCTGAATGGGAAGCTTGGGTGGTGGGGCTGAGGGTGGGATAAGTTTAATTTAAAAATTGAAATAAATTTAATTTAAAAATTTATTTTCCAGGTGACTGGAAACAACAGGTCATATCTGTTTGACATACTGGTGAAGGGATGAGATTAATACTGATGTGATTCATCATGTATATTTCCTTTGTAAGTTGATGGGGTGAAGGTTTAGAAACTTAAATACCCTGATGTCGTCTTCAGGAGAGAAACCCAGATGGCTGGAATTAGGCTACCTGCTGTTAATCAGAGCTGCTAGTTCTAGCGGTGGCATAGAAAAACAGCTGGCCGGGAACCTTACTGTTTCCTGCAGTGTGTTACTCAAAGATATGTAATGCTATCTAAACAGGTTTCTTTCAGTGAAATCCACTGATATGTTTTCATTTCCCTCCGTAGCTATGATGTTCCCTCAGAATCTGCTCTAAAGGACTCACCAATTCTTCAGGTAGTTTTTGTAAGGAAGAAGGTGAAGACCTATTGTGTGAGTGAAATTTCACTGGCATTTCATAAGGTTTCACCAGAGTTTTGGAAGACAATGTAAGGCAGGAAAGGGGAATTTGTGACCTTTCTCAGATATTGCTGGATTACAACTCAAAGCATCCCTTACCCTTGCCTTACCCTTGCCTAAGGCTGCCGAGAGTCGTAATTCATCAACAAACATCTGAAGGGCTCTTTTCTGTTATTCTAATGGCTATTATAAAATGAAACCAGAAATCCTAAAAAGCCAGGCCGTCTCTTTTAAAGGAATAAGAAGCAGGAAACTAGTGAACTGATGTTCAGTATGCTGAGGAAACCTCGCCAATGCATTACAGAAACTGAACTATAAGGAATCTTTTTTAAAAAACATAATTATTAAATGAAATCAAGGGCAGAGAATATAAGCTTAAATGTAAATTCTGGGAAATTAGTCAAAATAATGAACAATTGTTAAAATAGATTTTATTTTGCTTTAAATTCAACTGTAGTTACAAATATTACACATCCATCTAGCAGCTATAGCATATCTGTACGTGCTAGTCTCTTACCAGAAATGTAGATATATAAACATTTTATCTTTTCAAGTTATGTAATCTGCAAATTAATATACACATTATTTTAAGAACCCCTTCTTACAAGTTGATAAATAGAAGATGGGATTCAAACCAGATTTTTCACTCCTTTGATAAAAGCAGCAGTCCCTGTTTGACTTCTTCCAAGTGGTAGAAAATTGTGGATTCAGTATATTCTTGTTAAGGCTCTGACTAAAACACCACAGATCTGTGATGCTTTTTAAATGACTCAGAAGTTATCCAAGTGGAAAAAATAAAAAAATGGGGGAAAATTAATACCTTCTAAAAGGGAGGTAGCAGTTACATTGAACATCTTTACAGCCTATCTTTATGTAAAAGTAAATTCAAATCTTATTTGATTTCCATCTCCCCAAGAGGCTTGAGAACATGTCCTTCTCTGATGCGTCAAAGATGTTCAAGGAGTTAAATTATTATCTCCAGATAGTTCTTACTGTCATCTACTAGGTGGTGGCAACAAAAAGACCATCTTTTCACCCAGATCTGTGAATTTATCACTAGAACCTTTGGCTGAGGCAAGCTTTACTTTTTCAGAAGTTAAATCTTTCCAAAAGTAGAGATTACACTTCTATTTCTCTTTTGTGTCCAGCTGAAAATACAGAGAATATAGATTGTTTATTACAACCTACACCAACTGTTGATGAGATACAAAAAAAAAAAAATTAAAATTGAGGAAGCAGAGACTGTATTTACAACTAAACAAAAACATTACTGCCAAATGGTAAAATAAACATACAAGGAAGAACCAATTTTAACAGCACTTATGCTGACCTGAACCTGACCAGAACGGACTGATATTTTGCATCATATCATTCTGGAGTGGCAGACAAAATACATTTAACATCTGTCTGCTTGGTCTTCCCTCAAAACAATGATGCTCAAGTTACATAATTGCCACAATATTTTTAATTCCACATGGATTTGAACCGCTCGTTTTCCTTGTAGAAACAAATATTTACAAATAAGTAAAGGAATTGGATTTACTTACAGAATTTGCTAAAATATGATCTTCATTATGTACCAAGCCTACCTTGTCTAATGGCAAAATATAAACTATGGCTTGACTCATACAGTGTGCCAAGCTATAACATGTTACTGTGTTGTATGAACGTAAACATTGTAGTTTGTAAACCAAGATGCTGCACAACCAGCCAACTGAAGTTTATTCAGTAAATCATGGCTTAGTATACTTGAACCAAGTCTGAGCTGATATACTATTTACTCCAACAGAATCTGAGAATCAAGATGCTTTTTCTGTAGTTGAATGAAATATTCCTGCATACACACACAGTGGTTATTCATTCATAAAGAGATGGAGATCAAAGCATGCTGCTTCGATAATGGCCTAACAAATAGTAAGATTTAAGTATTTAGTGTGATTTTTACTTTATTTCAAATTATTTTGTTTTTATTATTAAGCAGTCAACATTACAAAATATTTTTAGCCCTAAAGCTGAGAAAAACTTTCAGAATTTTATTGTAATGAGTGGTGGTATAGAATGCAAGATTGTAAATACTCATATTCTTGCACACATGGATATACAGGTAGTCCTCGGGTTATAACGACAATTGAGACCAGGATTGCTGTCACTAAGCAATGTGGTTGTAAAGCGCAACATCACGTGACCACATCACTTAGCAATGGCAATTCAGGCAGTCCCAGTTGCCATCATAACCCCAAGATGCATGGGTCGTTAAGCAGGAAGCAGTGGGAGTCCCAGGTAAGGAGTGTGGGAGTACTGCAGGGGAGTTGGGGAGGCCGTGGGACGCTCAGCACAGGCTGCACACAAGTTGGGGAGGGGGGTGCTGCAGTGTCACATGAGTGTAGGAAAGCCAAGGGAAGGAAGGTGCAGGTCCATGCGAGTGCAAGGAGGGTGAGGGAAGGAGGGTGGGGATCGGCACAAGCACAGGGAGGCCAAGAAATGAAAGGTGCAGTGCGATGTGCAGAATGTGGGGGGGACTTACCAGAGTGACTTGTGACCTTCCCTGCTGGGTTCCCCATTGACTTTACTTGTGGGAAGCCGGTAGGGAAGGTTGCAAATGGTGATTGTGTGATGGCGGGACGCTGCAATTGTCCTAAGCGTGAGCTGGTTGCCAAGCACCCGAATCGCAATCATGTGACTGCAGGGGTGCTGTGATGACCAGAAATTCAAGGAATGGTCATAAATACACATGTTCAGCACCATTACAATTTCAAACAGTCGCTGAACGAGTGGTTCGTAAGCAAGGAGTACCTGTACTATAATTGTAAATACAAGAGTTATGGCATCAGGATCATTTCCAAATCTCAAGTCTCACTCTGCAAAACTGTTACTGAAACAAATCATAAAATACTTTAAATAGTCACATAGGGCAGATTGCATAGCCATGCCCTTTGAGTTGTCTGAGATGGAAAGGAATAACATCCAGAGTTACTGGAATTGGGTGGCTATAACAAATTTAAATAAAATAAATAAATAATAAAAATGAATAAATAATAAAAATAATAAAAATATTGTTTTTATAAATAATAAAAATAAAATAAATAAGTCTACACAACTGTGATATATAGCCTGATGGATAAAATAACTCTGAAGGCTATGTTAAATAAGGTTTTATCGTTAACTTTATTGTTTTCATAACTCCAGCCAGCAAAATAAAAGAGTCTGAGAGACAAGGTTTTCAAATCAAAGTTTCATACCTTTTCTTTTTCTTTCTTCATTAGCTCCTGTAACTCCTCTTCCCAGCCCAACAGTTCCACCACTTTTTCCACTCCACTGATTACATCTCCCAGTTCAGCTACATCGTTGTGCTGTGGCTGGAACATAAATGGCCCCACCAGGTCTCGATTGATCAGTACACGGGGGACAGAACCACGGACAGCTCCTGCCAGACTAGCAAAGGGCTCCACCTAAAATAAAGCATCAGAAATGGTGGTGGTGGGAGGGGGAGTTGTATCTCTTGCAAAGTAAAGATTGTTGCCCTTTGGCCTTTAGCCTCAAATGCTAAACTGAAAGCTTACACCAAACTTCTGAATTTGCCCACTCCATATCTGCTAAGTAAGAAAAGCCACGTGCAAATCACAGGATACTACTGTAGAAAAATAGTACTGTCACAATATTTAAGAGATGATACAGTACTTTCATTTATACACTAGTTCTCCTAAGAATCCTCAAAATATATTTGAATGAACCCTTCCAGCAGGTAGACCTGCAGTATTATTCCTGTGTGAAAAGATAGCTAAAGATAGTGAGTTCTTAAGGCCCTGAACTTTCTTCCCATCTCTTTTGTTAATCCCTGAACTGCCACCCTCTCCTTCCATTTGAATTCTCATGGCTTACTCTCTGTTTTCCAGAGTCTCTGAACCACTTTGTCTTAAAAACCCAACTCTTATTCTCTTCCCATGTGCATGACAGCCCAGACCTCAAGGGAGGTTCCAATGATAAAAAGCAGGTCTGCCATAGGAAAGTCTGTCATATACAAGAAGAACCGGTGAGGGAGCTCTTCTCCAAAGAATATAATGTCAGGCTTGACCACTCCAGTGCAAACAGGGCATTTGGGAATTTTGTCAGTCATCACATCCCCCTGAAATGAAATCAGATAATAAGGATGTAAGTTCTTAGTCAGGCAGTACAAGCCACAAGACTGACATCACAACACAGGACAGGACAGTGTACACCAAACTATAATAAAAGCAAAAAGTAATCCTGTGAGCTTGCTGAAGCAAAAATCTAGGTATCAAGCTAAAATATGTGGATCCATCTGAAAGATGAGCCATGAGTTTGGCAGCTGCTGTGGTTTCTTAGCCTGGCCAATGGAAAGAGGCAGGAGCCCATGAATATGAGCAGCCAGGAAAAGCTGAGAATTGGAGGGGCAGTCAGAGGGTCACTGGTTGTTGTCTTTGTCCTCACCAGTGTCCACCTTGTGTTTCAGAGAAATCACTGTTCTGTGAGGAAAAATTATGATGGTGATCTAGGATTGTCTCCTGAGAGATGTAGGGCAAGGGAGATGCCTCCTGTGAAGTGAGGGTAAAGGTGAGGGGCACGCACCCCACCGGCCAGTGCCTAGTAGGACAAGGATTTCCGGGGAGGGAATGGTTCAACTGTGGGTCTACTGTGTTGCGTATAGAGGTAGGTAAGGAGGATATGTAGGGTTAACTGGAATTGATATGAACAACAAGCATGGGATTCCAGACAGTTGTTCCATAGAGAGCAAGTTTTGATAAGTTTGGAGTGATACTGCTCCAAGTAGAATATAAAGGTGGGGTGAAAGAGCTTTAGGAGTCTAATTTGATGTGGGGGCATATTTCTACAGTGATGGGCCATGAGAAGTACAGCAGTATGAATAGTTTAGTTGTTCTGGGGAAGGGGGACATACAATTGCGTGCAGGTCCCCACATCTGGTCTTCAGGCCTTAATCCTAGGGTCAGATCCCAAGACAGGCCTGAGTATGGGACGGAAAGAGCACTGATTATCTGGGTGAATGACCTTTTTCATGCCTGGGATGGAAAACTGTTACCCTCTTGGTGGCCTGGAATCAACAAAAGCAGGCTGATGGTACATTTCCAATAAATAATTTAAATATATATAATGCTTGTATTATTCCTGGAGTGCTGTATGTGTTGTGCTGTGGCTTACCCTGAAATCCTCCCCTGAATATGATCTTCGACAGACAGTACATGTAGCAGAAGCAAATGTGCCATGAGCTTCAACTAGTTTATCTGGAGGAATCCCAGCAACTAGAACACACAAGACAGAGAGTTCAGTTTGGTCCAACTCTTCACCAACTCAAAGTATTTAAAATGGATGATGCCCTCGCCCTCGCCACCACAAACATTGCTGCCATCTGACATTGCTCTCAATTTATCTTCTTAGAGCCAGTGGCAAGAGGCTCACCTCTCTCCAGCCCATCAATATTTTGTGTGTAGAGGCGCAGAAGGAGCCCTTTGTCAAACAGAAGTCGAAGAAAATAGTGGGCATAGTTTGGTCTGTAATTGCCAGGGTACAACTCCTTAGCTAACCTGAAGAAAGGCTTGGGATTCTGGAAAAAGTAGCTAAGCTCAAATATGGCTTCAGGGTATGGAATATTATACTGCTGAAGATTATTGTATAGTCCACTCCCAGGAGACCTGCAAAAAGAAGAGCAGAGTAAATTTAGAATGCGGATAGGCCAGAAAACCAAGCTTATGCAACAGATCCCTAGCTTATCATATGGTTCACTATTTATATGGGATACTTCCTTTTTAAAGTGGCTCACAGAAATAAAGGCAAGAACTGGATTAGGAACATTTTCCCCCAAGTCAGAAAAACAGATTTATTAAGATGATGTATCGCCAGAACAAAGTCTATCATATATTACAGGACTACCAACTGGCCAAGTGGAACTACCTAGGGTGGGAATACTTACAGCTCCAGAAGAGCTCACATATACTGTTTCTCTGTATATAAAATCCAAATCTAGACTTGATTAACACTGTAATTAATATCACTGATTTAATCAAAGGCAGTTACTCCCATACATTTGTCAAAACATGCAATGCCTGCCTAACTGCTTAGTCATTGTTCAACCCAGTGAGCTTATGAGGGGAATCCACAAATTGGCAATCCAAAGTCTTAGCAGAAGAAATGCCCAAGTACTGAAGTATCCTAACCCAAGAAATCAACTGGTTAGAGTTCTAAGGGAAGGCGCAAAAATGGTAAATGCATTTTATTTTGAGCTCAGAACAGTTACATCCAGAATGTTTCTTTGGAGTGTTTGAAGCTTGAACTATTTTGAGAGAAAAAAGAAAATCTGTCCCAAGAAGTTTCCACAAATAATAGAGTATCTGTTACACCCTCTATTAGATCTACCTCTCCCAGACATGGCTTACTCTGTGTGTATGTGGGTTTTAATGAGCATAGGACAGATTGGATGCGCCTTAAGGAAAAAGCTGTTGGTGGGGGAAGACTTAAAAGCAAGTCTCTGTTTCTGTGTTTTTTGTTTATATCTAGCAAGCAGCCACATTGTGGCTATCAGAACACATGCAGCACTTAACTGAAAGTGTTAATTTTCCCAAATAAGCTAGAAGACCTTATGAGGGTGGGGAGAGAGTGCTGGAAAGTTGAGTTTCCTTTTAAACTCAAAAGAGGTAGCCAATTTGAAAACCAAGAGCATAGGAGAATCTCTTTTTCTATTTCTTCCCACTCTACTCCACTCCACTCCACATTAAAATAGCAGAGGGGCAGACTCCAACAGTAACAGAAGCACCAAGAGTGAGTCCAATCCAGTGGCAGGTCCCTTGCAGCAATTCTTCCTCTCTGCATCACTAACTAACATTAGACAGATCCGGAATAGCTCCCTCAGAGTCCCATATGCTCCTTAAAGCCTGCTGCTTTGCTCCACAGCTACTCTCTGGATCACCTCACCCAATCCACCTCTCAGCGACAATGGCCAAAGATATTTAATTGGTTTCTACTGCTGTCCACAAGATACCAAGTGCAACAGGCAACATAGAAGTGACTGACCTACCTGGTAAGATGAATTCATATACAGGTAGTCCTCGTTTAACATCCACTTGTTCAGCAACCGTTCAAAGTTATGATGGGGCTGAACAAGGGGTACTTACAATGGGTCCTTGTAGTTGTAGCTGTCCCTAATCCCCATGGTCACATGATCACGATTTGGGTGCTCAGCAACCAACTTGTACTTACGATGTTGCAGCATTCCATGGTCACATCATTACCATTTGCAACCTTCACTGCTGGCTTTTGACAAGCAAAATCAATGGGAAAGCCAGCAGGAAGTCGCAAATGGCAATCACATGACCATGGGACATTGTGACCACATGGGATTCACCTAACGATGGCAACTGGGACTGCTGGAACTGACACTGTATGTCAGCATGGTCACATGACATTACACCTTATGATTGCGTCACTTAGTGACAAGAGTTCCTGGTCTCAATTACTGTTGGTAAGTGAGGACTACCTGTAAAATAAGAGGAATTTTAATTTGCAACTAATTTATACATCCAGAGCCAATTTGACCTAATGGCTGAAGTGTTGGACTAGGAGTGGGGAAATATGAGTTTCAGTCTTGACTTAGTTATGAAAGCCAGCTGGATAACCTTGGGCTCCCTCTTCACCCTAGGAAGATGGCAATGACAAACTACTTCTGAAACTGCTGCTGAAATAACTGCATAACCAGGAGTCAAATCTGATTGAAGGCTAAATAAATAAATAAATCAGAATTGCGTTAATGTCTTAGAATATCAAGATCAAACAAGCAAAAAGGAAAGTAAATGTGATTCTTGGTCAATAATACTAACATGCCATCATTCTTGGATACTTCCAAAGACAAACATTTGAAGATATTTCATTTCGTTTGGCCCAAGCATGTCTCTCCTCTTTCGTGGAGAACTATTGCATTGCTAATTAAAAGAGGAAACAGGCTGGGAGACAGAAAAAAAATGACACTGACGCTTCCCTACGGTTCTAAAACGCACCCCTATTTGGACTACTGCTGTTTAATACACGATGAAAGCTGTGTGACAGTTACGGAAAACAGGTTTCACGGATGACCGTTTCTGTGTCTTGGTGAGGGAGATGCTGTATTTGGTTAAAGGTGCCAAAGCCATATGAGTAGTTCCAACGATACCTGAAATCTGGAATGCCACTTGGAGTGCTGAGTCCTGCTCCAGCCATCACTACTATCCTATGGCATTCTTTCTTCCGGATGAGTTCCATCACATCCCTTAGGCTGAGCTTCTTATTTCCACCATTATTTCCTCCTTGGCCAATTCCAAAAAACACTCTTGACAATGTGGACAGGGACAAGAACCTTACTTCCTGGACCCTGCAGGCAACATAGTCAGTAAGCATGCTCTAGAATATAAAGAAGCCCACTTATATTATAAGGGAAAAAATAAGAATCAATCTTCCAATCCAGGATGATTTATATAGGAATACCCATCCATGGCGTGTTATCTAATCTTATTTATTCAGAAAAGGATTCACATGAGCTCTTCCTGTTCCCTCAGTGCTGAGCTGAAGCAATCCCCACCCAGCCTTTAGCTGATAGAAAACTATACTAGCATACAACTTTCTGTTCCCATTGCCAGTTCCTGTTCTCCCTCTGTTTCAAATCACTGCAATCAGTTGACTTCCCTGATACACTTAAGAGATTTTATACAGATTGTTCTTGGACCTTGTCAGAATAAAGGGGAAAATAACCCCAATTCAGGCAAGGATGACTTAGGGCTTTCTCATTCATGGGCTGAGGACAAGATAAAAGCAACATCATGAGGATACAGCAGAAAAAAGAACTTGCTGTGGCATATTTGTGCCATAGTTAGTTCAAGTGGGGAAAGAGATTTTTTTAAATGATTAGATAATTCCATTTATAGTTAAGGCCAAAACAGAGAAACAATTGCATCATTTCTTTTATAGCATCTCATAAGTTTGCTAGCTCCTACTTTTTATGCAGAGAAGCACTTTTTACATGTTATGTAAAACATGGTATTCACCAATGCTTTTTTGCCTCTGGGAACACTGTGACAGACTTTCAAGAGCAGGGTATTAGCTATATTGCATCTGCAGGAGCTGATTTAAGTTTCACTGCTAACAACAAAGTTGGCCCTTGATATGCAGTATTAAAAAAAACATAGTTGAATGGAAGCCATATCTGAAATGCATTACTGTAACTTCCCTCCAATCTGCGCTAACATGATTTGAGATGCAACAAATGGCATTGGCTATATATGGCAGCCATTTCCTAAAAGTCTTACTTTACTGACGAGTCTGCCTCTGTCAGAGTGGCAATGTAGAAATGTCCCATACTATCTGTTTCATTGCCCAACTTATTCTGATGCTCATGCCAAATATTTAGAACCTGTTCTGAAAAGGAAGTGTTCTACCCTGGTTCCCATAAAATTAAATTCCTATGGAAAACACTGAAGACAGCTGCGAAGAATACTGTGGAGACTGACAGGTTCTGCTTGAGCTGTAGCCCAACATTGTAAACATTTCTTCCACAGTATCATCATTAAATGGAGATGATTTTGTCCTGGTAGCAAAAAAAAAAAAGAAAAGCCTTTTTATGTTATTTTAAATAAATTTAAACTTTGTTTACTAATTACTTTTTACTTTTTTAATTGCATACCTGATAACTGTACATTGTATTATAACCTATGGATTGTAACAGTAAATTAAATTATATTAAGCTGATTACATTTAAAAATATATATTGTTTTTACATGCTTTCTAATCTAATACCACATAGAAAAAGTGTCCTCTGGATCCTTTCCTTCTGCCAGCAACAGAACTATGATGAGAATGAGAACTTTGAACCTGAAAGGTAGCTGATTATAGGCTTTCTTCCATGCTACACAAACATTCAACAATCCTTTGAAGTTTAATGAGCCTTACTCTTAAATAAAACTTAACAGAATTTCAAATTAAATAATATTTATGAAAAAGAGTATCGAGGCCATACCTGATCCCAGACAAGCCTGTTGTGTTTTTTAAGGTACTTTCTGAAGTCTTCTGCGGCAAAAGTTTTCCATGAGGAAAGGAGAGGACAGATCTTAATGGAATTAAGGGAAGATTTTTGCAGGCTGTCAAACTGGAAGAGTTTTTAAAATGCTGATGCTGGGCATACATCCAGAAATCTGGAAAATTCCATCCTAAAAAATAATTTTAAAAAAGCTTATTGGGATAAATGTCCAAAGAGAGGAAATTTTTATAGAGCAATGAAAAATAATTTAGCACAGTAAAACAACATTTTATATGGTTAATACTTGCTGCATGAGAGTAGTTATCACTGCTTATCATATATTGCAACTACACAGGAAAAGAAACCAGCATTTGTTTATATTTTATGCAATACAAGTAAAAATACGTAAATTGAGCATGCTTCCTAGTGACTACATGAGGACCTCAATTCAGTTTTCTTGGAAATAATGCAGAAGTGGAGTATCCTTTTTCTGGGATACTCAATTGACCACCAGCCTTGGCATCTCCTATCCAAATTCTAAACAAACACAACCTTAACATCCCA